TTAAAATCATCACAGCCTGCTTTTGCAACACACAAGCACACATAAATGTACATGGAGGAGTGGTTATATAATGATTAGCTGTGTTGTCGGTGGCTGGTAAGAACGGACGAAAAGGAGGGATTGGGAGGAGGAGGACAGATGGAAGGGGGAAACTTTACCGCTGCTGGAGAGAAAGAAAAGTGATTTTTAGAAGAACCAGGGGGGCTGTTAGCCATAATGTAGAAGGGAGGATGGAAGTGAAAGAGTGAAAAAAGTGAGAGATAGTAGAATACTTTTTGCTGCAAAATGCTATGAATCTACTTGAATGTTGGTAGAAGTAACTTTCAACCTTAGCTTTGAAAACAATACATGACAAAATCTCACCATAAGGTCAATTTAGTAGCTGTTCTGTAGCTATCAATTTCGAAAAGTTCGAAAAAAAGTCCTTAGAAAAGATTTTTTTTTTTGTAATGTGGGGAACAGAAGTGCGTTAATCTGGGAGTGTGGCTCAAAATGAGACGCATGACCCCTACTAAGTGTATCTCTCTCTTTATTACACACACTCACGCCAACCTGATACCAACCTATATCTCTGAGCATCTCTATCTGTCTTTCTCTCACCATCCTTCTGCTACCTATCATTCTGTCTTCACTCTGCGTGAGTGTGTGTATGTGTGTGAGAGCGCGAGAGAGAGGAAGAGCAGTGAAGGCAAAGGAGGGGTGGTGGTGGATAATGTGTGCAAATTTGTCAGAGAGCATCCTGTTCTCTGTAACAAGTACACAGCACACTTCTGTCTCCTCTTATGTCTGTTCATCTCCTGTTCTCTCTCATCATCTCCAATGCTCTTTTACTTTCCAAAAACCCCTTCAAACCTTCACCCTCCTTCATTTGCTCTCCATCTCCTTCATCTGTCCATCCATGCATCCATCCCTCCCTTGGCTGGCAGTCGTGTCGTGCAGAGAAGCTTTGAATAATTTATCAGGCTGGGTTGTTCTGCCCTGCCCTGCTCCCCACTTTTGGCTTGCCTTGGTGCTGAAGAACATTTGGTGAAGTACACGCAACCCACACACGCACTTTCACCAAGGATATGATCAATAACCTGCACAGCTTTATTGATTACTCAGTGCCTGTATGTTTGGTTAAACAGTTGTGATGTTGTTGCCTTGAAATTTAAGATTTAGCCTACTGGGAGATGCTTGGTAACAAAGTTAGGAGGTATTCAAGAGGATGTGGGCACGCCTTGCATTACAAAACACTTCCTAAACAGAAAGTAGAGACACCAGTAAATTGTATTTTTTGGTTCTTGCTTACATGTTCTACCTTTCACCGACAGGACAAAGACACATGTGTTTAAAAAGGACATTTAACACAAACTAATGTCTTGCCACTATCTGACCCAAATTAACAAAGTAAAACGGACACATCAGCATTTTAAGAAATTTAAAACCAAAATACTAAAACTGGAAGATTAACGGAACTAAAGAAGGAAAAACTATGACAATCTTATAAACTCAAAAATATAGTTCACGCAGTTTACGCTCGAAATTCTTAATAATCTGCGAAAAACAAATGGTTTGTGATTTTAGACAGACATAGACAAAAGCAGGTTTCTCAAATCTAGTTGTGACCATTGATTTTGCTGCCGGATTTTTTTTATCAGTAGCTAGATAATGTTGACTTAATTCGTTAATGTAACCTCCTGGCTACATACATAATATAATGTTGACGAGTTAAATTGTAAGATCAGACTGTTGCTTGGTTCTTACAGAGGCACACGCATTTACAGATCTCTGCTGCAGCAGAAGTGGAAAAGTCACCTGTAAAAAGCCATTAATATATAAGCATTTATAGATTTGTCTACACATAAGAAATCTTAATAGACTTGAAGATCTGAATACAGATTTAGACACACACAAATTCTGACTGCACATTCACAAATCTCAGTATGTATTTAGAGACTCTATCACACATTCACAAATCTGCTTACGCACACATGGATTGAGATACAGGTACTCTCCACTCTTTAAATACTTTAAATAGTTTTGCTACAATAATGGCCCCACACCCCTCTCTCATCTTTGCACTACTACTGACTTCATCGAGTCCTCGCTGACCTGAAGATTCGTCTCAGAGAAATAGTAAAAAATCGTAAATTACAATGCAACAAATCGTTTGTCTTAAAATTTTTAGTATTTCCACAGAGGGGAAAAATAAGATCACGTGTTAGTCAAGAGTTCATCCATCCATTCATCCATTCTTTCACGTTGTAAAAATAATACTTATGTGTTCATTTTGGACTGTGCTTTTCCTACACTGAATTATTGAACAATAGAGCACTTCACCAAGCTTTTTTTATTTTATTTTTTTTACTCAAATCAAGGATGACTCCAACCAGAAGTTTCAGCCTACTGGTAAAATTGTTTGGGAACTTTTTGACTCAGAAGGGTTTTCGTAAGGTTTTCCTGGCAACTTCAGGCTTATTCACTTTCAGAGTCACACAGACATACTTTGAATGTTTGATGGTAGACTATACACAGATGCTGTGCAGAGGACGGGCCATAGAGGTATATTTACATGATACGTATATTTTGCCATCTGCAACTTGATTACTAGCCCTGTAAACTGCATAATGATACAAGATTCCAATTTCTTTATTGTCAAAATATTGTTGTGCTAGCATGGTGTAGAATTAATGCTGCTCCATCTACAGTACCCAACTACACCAAAGTGGTTTGAAGCCAGCAATTGAGGGATGGACCGACACTGCAATACATTTCCTCTTGTGTTTGTTACGTAACAGTACAGTAAATCTACCAATTGTGTTTCTTCTGAACTTTACTTTTGACCAATGATCCATTGGTCAATGATCCTTGGGGCAATGTGTCTCCATTGTTCATTTTAAGCCCCCCAACAAGGGCTGAGAGTTGAAAAAGTTAAACGGGACTTATATCAACCTCAGTCAGTTGCTGGTATGTATTGTAGCTTCACTTATTTTTAAGCAAAGCTTACTGTGGCCCCTTATGGAAGGTTAGGTTCTATACCTTTGTTGTCTTGCGCCATGAGATCAGAAGCCATGTAGCTAATGCTAGCAGGGCATATACTATATGACATCATTTCTCAATTTGTACATCCTTGATTCTTTTCCCCACCTCCTCTCCTTGTGTCCTAGTCCCTCCCACTCGAGATGTGTATGGAAGAGATGAGGAAGAAACACGAGAAGAGAGGCATTTAACAAAATGAGACATCCTTCTAATTTAAAACACACACACCATACTCTATACAAACGTATCTTCACACAAATAGGTATAGTAGTTATAAATAAAAGAAATTTCATTAACACCCGAAAGAGCCATTTACCTTCAGTCCTGACCAATAAAACTGCTCTTTCACTATCAAGCTCAGTTTATATTGCACTGTTATTTATAACAATATTAGTTTTTCATTGTGTTCTGTACTTTCAGGGAAAATATTAAGCCAAACTCCCTCTAAGAAATCTCTTATGTGTGTGTCGGTATTTGAGGAGGTTTTTTTTGGCTGTTACCAAAGTGACTGCCTGTATCAAGGTGAAATGTCAAAGAGGAATGCAGTGTGTTTAGAACAGCGCCCTACGAGTCGCTACTCACACGTTGAAGGGCAGAGAGTTTGATTGCACATTTGATCATCTTAGATAACTAACACAACTAACCGCCATGGTTTGTATATTCCAGCTGTGTGTCGTGCCTCTTTTATATGTCATGGGTAGCAAAACATTTGAAAAGACTTCTGCGAAGTATAAACTCATAGATCCTCTGGCAAGCCTCCTCTCTCCTCTTGAGATGCATTTTAGGAATTGAGATGTCCTTCACAATGGTGCGCTGATATCAGTTTCTGGGTAGCAGGCAGGAGGGCGGAGGAGAGAGGAGACGAGGAAGCAGAAAATAGAGAAATGAGAAGGCCCGGTCATTACTATGATCACAAGTTTGAGGTTACAACTGCAGTTACCGCCTCTGTCAGCTGCTTCACAGTACAAGCCTTATAGTGGTTTGCCAGTGGAGAACTAACCATAGACAGTCACCTTTCAGAGGCCACTAAGCAGTACCATGTAACCAAAATAAATCTTCACAGTATAACCAAATATACTGGTAGTTTCATTTTTTCATACATTTGGGTGAATGTAAGTCTAAAACTAATGAGAATCCAAGATTTGCTTTTTTCCACCATTGACTATACACTGTTATCCAAAAAATACTAAATCTTATGTCTTCTAATGACTGGTGTAACATATACTCGACTGTAATTGGAAAGCATAAATATGTACATACACTCAAGATACAATCATATTGTGACCTTCCAAACCAAAATGTGAAGAACATATTTGACCACATTACGGGTGGAAATGTGTCTCCAATTCATATAACAAATGCAGTACATAAAAGGAGCCTTATCAGAGTTGGATTTTCAGAATAATCAATGACATGAAACAAAGGACAACAAGATTGTGTTTGGATGGAAAAAGGCCTCTAAAAAGACAAGCCCTGGTAGAAAGCTCTGCATATCCCTTTTAAATCTCTCCACTCTTGGCTGTGTGTGTGTGTATGAAAATCATGACGGACTACTGTATGACAACCAGCTGTCAGATTCCACGAGGGAGCCCCCTCGCTGGGTGATGTAAAATGGACAGAGGAGGTGTGTATCATAATTTGCAGGAACGGTCAGAGCCATTTCACATGGACGATAGGCAGTGCTCCTCATTCCTTTCTCCGTAACAGCCTGCTTCCAGCTTCTGACATTGACAAATACACTCACACACACCCCACCACTAGCATGGATTTCAGTCTCCTGCCCTATTTGTTTTATAGACCCTTTTTCCAGTGTTGTCCAGGGTTTTATGCTTTCTAGGACAAAGAACTTCAATTGTTAGAGTGCATTATTGGGCAATTTTATGCAGTTTCTATTTTTAGCTCCTCCATGACTGTTCATTTTTTGTGAACGTTCTCATTTTATTTATTTTGTTTTTGTGGTTCATTTGCATTCCTTTCAGGTTTACCATGGCCTGGACATCATTACCAATAAGGTGACGGCTGAGGAGTGCGCCCAGTGCAGACATCACATGATCAGCTGCGTGGATCCGTTAGTTATCAGCTACACGGTGGTGGACTTCAGGAACAAAGCCCTGGCTCTAATATCCTTTCCTGCAAACATTTTAAGGCAGAGGAACCATATTTTCCTTCACACCTCTCCACATATTCCTATCACCCCTATCACATCTTCCCTGCCAGATCATTAAGTGGTAACTGCAGGGAAAGAATTCAGTCCATTTGACTTTTACTAATTGGTCTGGAGGTGTGTGTGAGTGTGTGAGTG